ACTGCGCCGTGAGCCAGTTTATTGAGCACTGTGCCATATAGTGTGGAAATATGAGTGAGCAGATTTGTGGGGCTTGTGTTCAGGGTGGATGCAGCCAAAACCTTCCTATCCACTAATTCATTAATGCTAACTAAGTAAGCCAGCTGTCCCTCCTGCCAGCTGAAACATCTCCTTTGTGACTGAATTCAGTTCTCTGTAATCACGATAGAAACCAGCACATGCAATGAACCCATTTCTCAGTGCTGATCAAATGTTTTTTCAACCATTTTGCAATACAAACACCAAGATGAACTGAATAGAGAAAATGTCTATACATAAATGTTATGACGACAGTCCATCAAGTTGCTTTTCCTTTAAAAATGTGCATGATACTGCATTTATAACGAGGAGTAATATGTGCTGTTTTAAGCCACATTACCACCAAACACTTTAGGTATAGTACTCTTACTACTGGTACCTAATCCATATAGATATGTAGCTAAACCTTAAACCCCGTTTCTGTCAAGCAGTACAGTACAGTTCAGTTCTGTTTGGTGTGCTTTTTTTTCCTGTTTCCACTCTGAAAAGTTGAACATGGTACCAATGGACCAGTTGTACCGTCCCATTTTTGGTCACCCCTCTGTTGGGGTACCTAGCACACTGCAACACTAAACCCCCGAGCCTGCCTGAGCCGGACTAGATGCACAAACCTGCTATTTCTAAATATCCCATGGAGAGACTCTCACTGCGGCCTGTTTTATTTTGTTCAGAAAATGCTGGTGTGCAGCCTCATTCTGTGGACGATAAACAAGGTGCAGACTTCCCTCTGTGTCACTGCTGATGAGGAAATACAGCGAGTCCCGGACAGAGCAGTGAGTGACCACAACCCCCGCCCACATTTAAGAGTACTGTTTGCGGTCTAGGTACCACGTCTGAAGGGTTACTTTTGGCTTCAAAGGTACCATAGTAAAGTGTTTGGCGGAAACGGGGCTTTAGATCAGTTTAGTGTTTCCACTGCAGATAGTACTCTGAAATGTAGGCTGGGTTTTACCAGATTGTAACATCTGCATCACTGTTCTATCCAGCTCTTGCTGTATTTCCTCATCGCTGAAAAAAATCTTTACACGGCGAAGCAGAGAAACATCCACACCTTGTTGACAGTCCACAGGGTTGCACACCAAAATTTTCAGAACAAAAAAGAACAGGCTTGAGTGTTTAGAGTCTCTGTCAAAATCAGTGGGATTTTCAAAAACAGCAGGTTTGTGCATTGAGTCCTTGTTGAGCAAGAGTGACTGTTCTCTCTTTACCAATCAACGGACTGCAGTGTTTCTAGCTCCACCTGTTAGTATTGGATCAGTGTGAGGTACCTCAATAGAGGGTGATGAAAAGAAACAAGACAAAATGGATTGGTTTATTTGTACCATCCAGAAATTTTGACAATGGAAATGCAAAAACTGGTCTAATGTGTAACAAACAGAACCAAACTGAACCGGATTACTTGGTGGAAATAACACTTTAATAGATACACTGTGAAGGTGCAGTCCAGGCAATGACATGGTCAAACATTGACATTGTCGTCATTTGATGCAGAGGGATTTTAAAATCAAAGCCAGTTCCCTGGTTACATTCTGGTCAAAAAGGTCGTTAGTTGGACTGGGAATGGTTCTTAGCCGGCTGGCTCATTCTAGTGATTCACCCTCTGTCCCTCTGTCCCTCACTTACTCCTCCTACTCCTCCTCCTCCTCCTCCTCCTCCTCCTCATCCTCCTCCCTTCATCCTAAACACAGTTCACTTAAAGGGTCCAGCAGGAGCTAATAATAGACTGGAGTCACTCAGTCTTGGTAGAGTCAAGGATATGTAAATATGCCTTTCTCCTGTGGGCAACTTCCTGGTTGCTGGCATGAGCGGGAGCCAGTGAGAGGAGGAGGAGAGAAGCGCGGTCGGCATGGCAACATGGCCTGGCTGCCTGCATGGTTTTAACTCGGGTGTAAAATGCAAATGTTATTCCCCAAGTGTAGCCTGCCATAAGCTTCTGCTTCCACTCTCTTCTCTTAACTTCATATTTTCTTCTGCAAAGTCTCCATTGATCACAGTGCACACAGTGATGTCACAATTCTTTATTTTCATTGCGACTTTATTAGTTATGCACTGTCCTAATTTTATGTCCCTGTAAATGCAGTGCAGTCAGCTTTAAGTTTATTTGGCAAAAGTGAGTATAGTAAAAACATTCACAAAGCAACAATTAAAAAACACCTTCTTCCATAGCATCAAATAAACGAATCTGAATCTGAACAATACACAAGAACCCATCAGGTCCATCACATGCTGCAGCCACAAGTTAACAGCCTTTAATGCTATAAGACACTGATTTCATTCTAACCTGCTCTAACCTGCTGTCTTTAATCTGTGTGCCTCCCTTGTGTGCCATAACAACACAACCTCAAAATAGCCCCTCTCTCTCTGTTAGTGAATTAAGAGGAAAAAGTGTAAGCAGAATGGAACAGATATCGCTATGGCAACCTCTCCGCCTGATTGCTATGAGATATGATTTCCACGAGTTTGGTCCTCTGATCTTCTGCTTCTTAACTTTATGTGGGAAGGCAGAGCTAATGCCTCCAATGTTTCATGTACTACATGTATATAAAGTGTATGTACATGGAGGCATATAGAAATATCAGACCATAAAGCAGCTCTTCACAGGAAGAAGCATCCATGTTGTTATGGCTTCTTTGTAAAAGCCCATTAAGCCTTATTTCTATGGCCAAGAGACATATATAACCAGGTTTGTGTTCCTGAGGGTAAGTTCACTCAGCAGGTTACTTTAGGTTTGGTGTCCAGTTGATGGAAAGGCAACGTGTCTGTGTTGAACTACACCACACCAACCAAATAGGATATGCTGCAGCATCCCCAAGTAACACAAAAAGAAGATAGCCTTAACTTTCACTTGATCAAATGATCAGGTAACTTATTTAACATCTGACCACATGGGGCAAATACACCAACCACACAGTCTAATAAAATACTTCTTTATAGCAAGAAATTAAACCAGACTATTTAAATATTTGGCTCTTACACACATTTTTCACTCACTGATGATAGGATGGACTTGTTTGGGGATTCACAGGAGAGGAATATTTCAGGGATAAAATGTTAAAGTATCAGCACTTACTTCCAACATTTTCTAAGATATTTAATACAAAATTACGACGAGATACTTTAAGTGTCTAATATCTACAAATATTTAAACAAGTAAAATACTCAAATAATAAAAATACCGTAATATTGAGCATTATTTATCAAAGGTGTGGACTCTAGTCGCATAACTTGAACTCAAGTCAGACTCTTGTCACAACTTTGATAACTAAAGATTTAACTTGACAAATTCAGAAAAGACTTGCAACTTAACTTGGAATTTAACACTAGTGACTTGTGACTTCGATTGGACTTGGGGAATTTTTTCTTGAGAATACTTGATACCTACTTTAAAAAGTATGATCTTTAACAGTGTCACATGTAATTTTTTTCCTCCTTCATTTCCTGAAACAACTAACATTAACAAACCAGGAGCGACATCACTTTTCTTGTTCTGCTTGCCGACGCCTTTCACAAGTATTTAAATCTTGAACCTTGAGCAAATAGGTGCGATTTCTTTTAAAAAATGTGGGAAAAAAGGCAATGATTAAGAGGATTATATTTTTTAAAAAAAAGTAGGGAAAAAAGAAAAAACGCTAGGGAAAAACTGTATTTATAATTATTATTGTCATACATTTTAAGATTATGCTGTAGAATTATTATAATTTTTAAGCATTCTTTCCAGTTCATTTTCTGTCTGTCTGTCTGTCTGTCTAAAAAATAATAATTTTCTTGTTTTTAATTCTCTCTTTTGACTAATTTATTGCTATTTTTTGGGGGTCATTTTGGGTTCTTTTTTTGTGCATTGCATTTTTCTCATGTTTTTAAAGGAAATGAAGCCAATTTGCTCAGGTTTCAAAGGGTTCATTTTCAAGATCCATTATGTTTGAACCAATCTGACAGCATTCAGTGTTACAGGAGAGAACCACTAGGAATTAATGTTACTTACCAATTGAAAAAAATGATACCAGAGATAATTTCGCTCATGTACACAACTGCACAATGCTCACCAAAAATGGATTAATATATTGTTATGTTGCTGAAATGGAAATACATTTGGTGAAGAGTGCATTGTGACTTGTATAAGACTGGAAATTTGTAATTTAGGACTTGAGACTTGTCTTGGGACTTGAGTGCAAAAAAATAAAACATTCCCAGGATTTCAGCAGTTTCATCCAACACATGTTCGTGTCGGCCCAAATAAAGTTTGAGTATGAAATATGGCCATTTTTAGTAAGACTCAAAGATACACGTTATTTTTCAGTTATCATCTTCTCATACTTTCACCTACACCTCAAACAAATCTTTTAGTCATCACAGAAGACAACAAAACTAACCAAACTGCGCTCATGTGTGTCTGTATGTTTTGACACATTATGTGTCCACTGCCACAGATTAATATTCGTGCGGAGAATTAAATAAGTGAATCATCATTGTATTTCATCCATTTTATAATCACAACATGAAAATGCAGAAAGGTCAGGATTTAAGGATTACGCTAAACCTTGCACTAACCGAGGAGCCGTGTTTATTGAATGTGAGTTTGTGTTCTGAATAGACGTGGATGATTGTCTTTGAAAGGAGTCGTCATTTGTTTTCTGCTCCTTTGTCTGCAGCAGAAAGGCTAATCTTTAGGCAGCACCACTGGGTTTATTAAAAACTGGATAGGCTTTTATTGGACTGTTAATAAGAGGGTCTGTTTTGACAACAGCCATTTCAGAATCTTTTGCACCATTGTTGTTTCATTTAAAAGACATGTCAAAACTCGTTGCTTATTGGTTTATTGGCCCAAAACACTGTAGATTGTGTCAGTTAATTTGGTGGAAGAAAGCTGTAAAACTCCTCACTGACATTTTCCTCGGAATTCAACCTTTTTTCTGTGACTGCAGGTGCCAAAAAGCTGGCCAACAAGGCAGCGCTGTGGTACGTCCCCTGCTCCCTGCGGAATGTCGACAAGATCATGGATGTGCCGCCCATCAAGGTACATGGAATCTTAGCTGCTCTGACCTTCATGGACCGAAGCTTGGCATTTTACCTGTCTGCTTCTCTCTGTCTCTTATCGGACTCTCTCCCTCATTTTTAACTGTGTGAAAAGTCAATTTTGATTGTGTCTTGAATATCACTGTGATAAACTTTACTCACCAATGCAAAGACAGGTATTTGTGCACATGTTCAAACAGTATATGCTCTGTCTGTAGTACGCCAGTGAAGAACAAGAGGAGCAGGGCAGAAAGCGCTATGAAGCCCAGAAGATGGAAAGACTGGAGACCAAAGCAAGGATTGAGGAGATGGTGCCACCTACACCCAAACCAGGTAACATGCTGCACTAAAGGCCTCAAATCAAATCCTGACATTAACAGAAGTCTGAGGTGTACATAATGACTGTGTTCCCACGTGGACTGAAAGACGCTGCAAATATCAGCAGATATTCTTGTCTGTTATGACTGATGTTAACGACATTGAAAGTGTCAGAATGGTTTAACCTGCAAATGCTGCAACACCTCCACTTAACGCAGAGGCACTGCACAGACGTATTTGAGTCTGAATTAATGTCCATTTTTTTGTTGTAAATGTGCAGGAATTTAAGTAGGTGTTGCAGAAGAACATTCGGAGACACAAAATATAGGACACCATGTTCTGATATTTCCATCGCTGTACCTTTTACAGCTCAGTGCTGTGATAATAAACTGCAGCATGAAGCCAAAAGCAAATATTTTCTTCAGTGTTAGACATTTTATTTTGGCTGGCTCTGATACTGGGCTGATTTGGACTGTCATATAGGGTAGATTTTTTTGTTACACTGTGAAACAACTATTTAGTTGGAAATGTTATTATTAAATACTGAAGCAAAAAAATGTCGACTGCCTGTAGAGTAGGTGAAGAATCCCCCCCTCACTTTGAGTAATTGCGCTATGCATTATGCACTATTGCTAACTTGTGCCTTCACTAAATATTACTGTACACATACTGGACACTCAAGAGAGAACTTCCAATTTAGTTAAATGACAGTTAAGTAGATCAAAGGTACATATTTGCTGTGTTAATGTATGACTAATTCTGTAATTTTGTCATGTTCAATCAACCGCAGAGGATCCGCCCAAAGGTATGTTCACTCCTCTGTAGGCTTCATCTCAGTACAGTGACTTTAGCGAGGCAGCATACAGAAGCATGTCTGTGTTGGTTTGCTTGGACAAAATATACACTAGCAAGTTTTTCGATGCAAAAGCTGCAATTTTTTTCTCATCTATTTGTTGTGTGTGTGTTTGTGCTTTTGCATCACAGAACAACACTCCATTAGTTTCAGCCAGTCCAGTCTGATCCATTTGGTGGGCCCTTCTGACTGCACGCTGCACAACTACGTACATGGCGGTGAGTCCAAGTGCTTATTTTAACTTTTAAGATTGATTAGGTGGACGGTTGACTTTCTGTCTTAAGGTAAAAAAGTTGCAGAACCAGTTCCAGCGTCTGTCTGTAACATGTTGCTGATAAAATAAGGGCCATTAAATTCTTTTGATATATGTGGTGAATGAAATCACTGCCTGCAGTGTGAGGAAGGTCACTTATGAAGACAAACCCACTGAGAGTTCACACCCAACTCTCTGCAGCTTTAATAACATTTTAGCCACTTTTAGGTCATTGTTTTGGTCACCAAACACGGTATGGTTGAGTTTTGTGTAGCGCTGTCATGATGATTAAATTTCAGTTGACGATAAATTGCCTTACAAATACTTGCGATGTGAAATGATGCCATTGTCAGCAAAGTAGTGTCAGTTAATCTCCATATGGTTTGCTGAAACAATTGTTTGGTGCACACAGATTTATTTTAAATAGCTTGTTCTAAAACTGTTGTTCAGGCCGACTTAATATAACAAACATGTGGTTCAAGGCGGTTAAAGGAGGTTTGATTTTATTACAACAGGGAAACACTAAGCCAGTGTTCTCTGTGTCAGACCATAGTTGGGACAGGGAAGACTCTGTTTAGCCTCCAGGCCCAGCGTTGATGCTAACTTCAGGGTCAACCCCCTTCACTGTACTCAGCAGTTGGGAAGCAGGACAGCAAGGAGAAGCAAGGAGCTGCAGCACTCATAGACAAACTGAAGCTTACACTGTACATTTACTACCACTCCACAACTTTACTTTCAGTTACCTTTCTGCTCTGATCACCAGTATCTGTCTGCTTTGAGCGCATTCAACATCACTATCGCTCCCTCTTGCTCAACCCGTGCTATTCTTATGACATCATGTTTCCATCCAAATGTTTTTATGTGAATTCTCTTATTTGAAAAGCTGAGTGGACGCGACAACTCCATCATAACTTTCTCCAGAACTGTCAAACACACTGCTGCACCTGTAAGGGAGACTCTCCGCTATAAATCAAGTGAGCCGTGACTGGCACCTCTCTGTTATTATCTTGCTTCAGAAAGCAATAATACAACAATACATTACAGTCTCATACAATGTGAGCTGAAACTGAAAAACTTGCCCAGCAGCTCTTTGCTTCCATGTCTTTTTTTCTTACATCAGAGCCTTGTGCTCAGGTAGACACTTTATTTACTGAGCTGATGCAAATGTACCTAATGTTCTTTCTTTTTGTTGATTTTGTTGATTATTCAATATGATTGTGGTCAGCTCCGTTAATCACAATCAGGTGATTATGTTATAATTGCAATAGGCCAAGTGTCATGGCTCTCACCATCACTCTGTAAAGCCAGCCGTTGCCAGACCAGACAACTTCAGACAAGCTGAGTATACACTTCCTGCTCAATGTGAAAAGCTGAGGGAGCTGAGATAAACCAGTGACTTGTGAAGAAAGTCTGACGTCTAGCAGCTGAATGCCCAGATATGTTTCTCAGTAAATCCAGAGCTAAAGGGCCAGTGAGTCCTGGACTAACATTAATCTGAATCCAGCTGTATTCTTAAGTTGGTCTGTGCCTGCGTGAAAGTACATACGTCTTTTTTAACAGGTTGATAAGCCAACGGTTTCCCAGGGCTGTGTGTCTGTGAGTTTGTTCTGGAGTTTTTCTGCCCCTTGGTGGTCAAAATAATCTAATTCAACTTTCACCACTGACCAAAGTGTTCTAAAACAACAGGGAGTGGTTGATGTTATTTCCCTGAAATATTATCTATAATGCAGTGAGGGGTGCATGAAAGCCTGCACGCTAACAGAAGAGGATAGAAGTCATCCACTAAATTAATTGGACCGCTGTGTCTGCATTTACCTTTTCATGGCAGAGGCCACAGACGGACAACCTTTTGTACTCTCTGTTAGCAGACAACACAGACTGATGCTTTCACTTGTATACGTGTCGGTGTAGGGAAGCCACATTGCAGCAAGCTTGCGGAAAATATAAAGTAGGTGTTGATGATGGCTACATACATATATGTGTGTGTGTGTTCCTTACACAACATAGTGGCTGATCCTGCTTTAATCCCCTGAAAATGTAAATGTTGCACACCCACCCATGTGTGTAGCTTAAAGGAAGCTATGTAAAGAAATAAACATCTAATCAACCGACTTCACTGACATACACAGCAGTGAACTTTATTTTCATATTCCTATCATATTCCTAGTATAAAGATCAATGCAAAGTAAAGTTTTACAGCTGTTTTATTTAAAGTTCAAATGTACTAACACTGTGTGATTGATCAGCTGCTGACATAGCTCAGTGTTTCCAAGTCGCCCTCTGCCACTACGTATCTGGTATCTGTCAGATTTCTGTGTCACTCTCATACATGTAAAACAAAGAGCTCATGAACAGCATCACGCTGTTTGGTTTTCAAAGCAGGGACAGATCTGACCATCCATGTCCTCAGTACAGTATGGAAATCCTACGGGGAAGCAGATGAGACAGAGACACTCAAAACACAGAACATACAGTCATATGTTGAAAGACACAGAGGGTCAGGAGGAAGGAGAGAGATTTATAGGAGAAGTAGAAGAGATATATATGTAGAAGTTGAGGTATGGAAAGATAGAATGGGACGAGTAAAGAAACATTCACACACTCACATATGCAGTACACGTTTACATCCATCTATTCCACCTTCAGCAGTTTTGCCTATGAATTGCCGACAAGGTTCCTTCCAGTTTTATAGCCTCCGGCATGAACCCCCAGACTGTACTTTTGGTACAGCGTGTCCCGTGGCAACACAGCGGAGGCACAGAAGAAGAAATACTGCTGAATTTAATCCAAAGTGAAACGTCCTTGAGAAAGAATTTTGTGGCTTTTAGTGCTTATGTTCTCCTAAGTGAATGGATGAGTGAATGCTTGTTCGGTTCAGAAATGTCTCACCGTTTTTTTGGGAGCGAGTGTGAGTACTTGGGGGTTGTGGTGAGTGATTGTTCTGTATATGTGTGTGCACTGTTGCGTTTTGAAATAACTGCTCGGGTGCTTACTTGCATTGACAGCACTCTGTGCGGTTATGAGCATGGCTGTAATGGTGAAGAGCAGAATGACAAGGACAAAGCAGGAAATAGACAACTAGAGCAACAAATCGAATATAGAAGGTCTTCATAACAGGAAATTTATGGTGCTGATGCCATTTCCAATTCTGTGCTTCGCTGACAAGCTAGACAACTCGGAGGCTTAAATTGTTCCTCTATGACTCGTCTTTTGACCTTGTTAAAATTCTGACTGGAATTCTGACTGGGCATGTTCAAGCATCTTTAAGCAGAAAAGCTATTTTTATTATTTGGCAGTGCATTCAAAAAGGCATTTTGAGGCCCGTTGCTTGCAAAAAGTGAAAATGCTTCGTCTGCATGCATTCACAGAAGCCCTCCAACTGAAAAACTGTATGCACATTAAAATATATTGTCATTTTTTGCAAGCAAGAAGCCTCATGTAGTCTTGTTGTTTTCCCTTTTCCCCCCACTAGATTTGATCCAGATTCCTGAAAACAAAAGTTTGAAAAAAAGTGCCGTAGAAAAACAATGGCCATGAAAGCACAGAACATACAGTACAGCAACAAAGATTAAAAGCAAGATAAACAACTAATTTAATGAGCGCGTATCCAGATTTGATGGCTCAGCCACCCGTAACCAAAGACCTGGTTTATCTGATGTCCCAAACAACATAAAAAAGCAAACCCTCACTGGAACCCACTCTGGCTGCATCTGTAACAAATCCAACATTTTATCAGTGCAGAACAGATGCTTTTTATCGGCCGAGGTATATTGTTTCTGGCAGCGGACTCCTGCCTCATACTGCCATTTCTATCGAGGTCAGATATGTAAAGAGGCCATCAGAGAGACACCAGATAGTGAGGAGGAAAAGCAGACGAGAGACACTGACTGAGAACGAGAGGCAGTGTGAACAGGACAGGACAGCAGGACGGGAGGAGGAGGGAGCAGGGCGGGACAGATAAGTGTCGCACGCGTCATGGTTGCCTTTTTAATTTGGCGAGCTCGCTGAGAAATCTGTCCAATTAAAAAACAAATGTGGAACAAGCATGCAGGTCATTTAGAATACACACACACACACACACACACACACACACACACACACCGCTGCTCTCTATCTGTGCATGCCATTGCTCATTAGGCAATGTTCCCTGTTGTTTGCTGCTGCTGCGGCTGCTTTCACTACACTTATTTTGTTTACATAACTGAGTCAGGTCAGGCAGCCAGGATGCTTGTTCCGCTCTCTCTCTTACTGTGCCTTACTCTCACTCACTCCCCCTTCTCTATATACTCTTGTTGGAGAAAAGCTAACTAACTTCCATGCATCAATGCTGAGTGCTCACTTACTGTATGTTTCCGCTTTTGTGGTGTGTTAAAGTGGCCTACTTAGGGGCGTCAGTGGCTTAGTGGTAGAGCAGGTGCCCCATGTACAAGGCTGTTGCTGCAGAGGCCCGGGTTCGACTCCAGCCTGTGGCCCTTTGCTGCATGTCACTCCCTCTCTCTCTCCCCCCTTCACACTTGTCTGTCCTATACATTAAAGGCTAAAAAGCCCCAAAAAATATCTTTAAAAAAAAAAAAAAAAAAAAAAAAAGTGGCCTACTTAGCTGAAGCCCAAGGAGACATAAACCACATGCACAAACACATCAACACTCCGGATCTCACATGCATGTGTATTCATATTGTAAACAGGCACAGTGGATGCATAATGCACCCTGCAAACAGTTCTTGATTGTTTCCTCCATAAAATACCATCTCTGTATGTCTTATTAATTATTCCAGCGACAAAGCCTGACTGACAGACAGCACATTGTAATAGCAGAGCCAAAATATGACACCGCATCCATCCAGAGATTTGACAATAATATCAGTGACGCTAATGCAGGCTAATACAATTATGTCGACGTAATACCATCTATTTGGTCAGGAATGATTTGATAGTTGTATAGGATCTCATTCGGTGTTGTGTGGG